CAGTTGGAATTTCTTAAAGCTTTTTCTTTAAACATTTGTTCTGGACAATAGCTTTTTAAAAAGTTATTGTCTTTTCCAAGATTGATGGTGGTTTCTTTTCTGACATTTTGTTAACTGTGAAATGTTAGCATATTATTTTCTCTCCGTGTTAGATTTACTCGCCATTTTAGCTGTTGCTAACCCTGAAAGTCTTCAACTGATGTGATTTGGTTGGGAATCCGCAAGGTTTAAAGACGCATAGTCGTCGTTGAGGCATACTAATTTCAGGCGCTCAAAGCCAGTTTAACCATTGATCTGAGGAAGAATTTGGCGCCATGCATAATATTCCTATAAAAATCACGATCTGACCAGGCTATATAAGTACATGACTCAATTTTCTATAACATATATATATATATATATATATATATATATATATATATATATATATAGAGGGAGAGAGAGAGAGAGAGAGGGGGTGGTGTATCCTATTAACTAACACGACAACACAACATAGATTTTGAAATATGTTAAAACTGACTCACAAAAGGGCGCTCCAAGTTTATTTTCATAAAACAGCAAATTTTCTTTGCAATTCGAACTAAAATGCCTTAAGTAAATGACCATTTTCACCTACAAATTTTAATTTTAAAATTCACATTTTTTTCAAACTGTTTATAATATCAGTTTGTAGTGTATTGTTTATTTGGACAAAGAAAGAGAGAGAGTTATGTATATATGTAAATATGTATTTCAGAAATATATATATATATATATTATATACATATTTCACACACATTTTTTAATTAATATTTGCTCTGGTGTTACATTGGGCGCTCTGGATTACATCCTCTTCGGAATTGTCCACACGTATAAACAAACCATTCATTACCTTCCTATATATATATATATATATATGTATGCGGCATCTTTGGAACGTGCCTTTTGAGTGAAATTGGATAGACGGTACCCTTGGGGGACGATATTCCATGTCATCATCACCGAGGGTTGGAGCATGATGGACGTGTTGATGATAATACTAGATAATGCGCTCCCTCACAGAAACTATAACAATTTTTCAGTCTAGCTTAGTTGCAGTAAAAACGCCAAGTGGTCACTGTCGGTGTTAAACAAACACAGATGTACCTGAGCACGCTCCCAGTTGACGGGCATGCATATATATATATATATATATATATATATATATATATATATATATATATATATTCCTGCCTCTTTGGGATTTATTTTAGTTATTACTTAGGGTATTGATCACTCTACGTTTTAGTCTTTCTGCGGGCTTGTTTTTTTGTTGTTTTTTTTTTCTTTGGACAAAAGACTTAAGGCATTGGTCTATTTATTTCGCCCTGTTCGGATGTTTTTAGTTCTTTCTGATTATTTCCATTTTTTCCGCGACTACCGGTTTGTTTTGACATATCTACAAGTTGAGCTATTTGTTTTCTTTACCAAACGAATGTTACTATTATTACTATATATATATATATATATATATATATATATATATATATATATATATATAATGCCGTCTGCAAATACTGACCAAAAAATTAACGATGAAAAATCAAATGCAAACCACAGGCAACTTACGCCTTCTACAGAGGCAGTCATTTCACCCCAGTACTTCACTGCTACTAACGATTTTTTTTTTCTTTTGTTGACCAAAACTAGTTCAGGAACGTAATTTAAAAATAAATAATGTTGAATATAAAATTAATATAGAACCCAATGTGACTGAAATTTAAATTTTAACATTTTTTATTGTTCAATATATATATATATATATATATATATATATATATATATATATATATATATATATAGACATCATTACTTCTTTCATGCAAGTATCATTAAATATGACAGACAAGTTGCTATGACTAAGTTTTTTTTATATAATTTATCATTTGATCTTGTATTTTTTTTAATTTTAAATGGCAAATTACACAAAAGCTATCCAGTTCTGGGTTTTTTTTCGAGCGCTTATAATAGCATTGTCTACATGTAAATAAAATGCTACAAAATTGAGCCTTATTATTAAAAACAAAAAAACAAAAACAAAAAAAACACTCAATAATATCAAGTATAAACATTGATACAATATGTTAACGTGTTTTGAAAATGAGACATTAATGAAGCACACATACAATCTATTTCTAGTTAACAATTAATATATTTTAATCTTGAAAATGGTTAAATGTATAGCCGAACGCGCTCGGAAAAAAACCTAAAAGAACAACATTTGGAGAGTTTTTTTAGGCATTATCTATTGAAAAGAAAAAAAATTACAAGATCACCTGAGAATTTCTATAAAAATCTTAATCAAAGCACCTTGTCTGTCATATTTGATGAAAATTGTATATATATATATATATATATATATATATATATATATATATATATATATATATATATATATATATATATATATATATATATATATATATATATATATATATATATATATATGTGTGTGTGTGTGTGTGTGTGTGCGTGCGCGCGAAAATATACAGAAAAACAGGAAAGAACACGTTAGGTATGTAAGTTCTTTAGTATTTTTGTTTTAATTTTTAAAAAACAGTGCTCAATACATAAGTAACGGCGGAACATGAATGCCAATAACTCTCTGTCACTGAAACCGACAAGACGATATGCGTCTAATGAATGTCATCATTCCCTTTAAAATAAAAAAAAAACAACTCTACTTTGACTTGACCTCTTTCCGAAAGTAACTAATATGTTCATACAAATTGTTAACCCTTACGTCCCTTATTGAAATTATTGCTTCATATGTTTCCAATGTAATTAATTTTACGACTGAATATGATTATAAAGATGCGTAAACTTCAAGATCAGATATTCCACAAATTTCGCTTGAGGAAGAAAGAGAGCTTGATACTTTAATTGAATTTAATTTGAATAATTATATTGAAATTTTTGGCTCTTGCTTTTGAAACATGAGAACTCTTATGTAGCGATGAAATCATATTTTAAAAAAAAATAATTGCATATATATATATGTCTGACGATCGCTAAAGCGTGAAACCCAGGGTCACAAACTCACATCTATCCAACCAAATATGTTAGCTCTATCTCTGATTTTGAGCGCTTTCTAATAAGTACCGCGCATATAATATATAAATAATTATACATATATATATATTTATTTATATTTATATATATATATATATATATATATATATATATATATATATATATATATATATATATATATATATATATATATATATGGATCTCCCTGATTTCGAAGTGAAAAATACTCACATAAACACACATACACACACACACACACATATATATATATTATCAATATATATTTTGTTACTGTTAGCAATATATATATATATATATATATATATATATATATATATCATAGTATGAATACAAAAAAATGAATGATGTTAGACGGATAGGTAAGTGGATATGTAAAAACTAATAAATATATCGATAGGTAAAGATGTGAATTATCGAAGAGTTAACTGTAGCCCGATTCAAATCTCGATCGCGGCTGAATGACTAAACGTACAAAGCGAGCGAGACAGCTTTTGAGAAATGCGACAGAAAAAGCACTGAAAGACAGCATACAAAGAGACTAACAAATTAAGAAGGCCAATGTGAAAGAGAGCAGGACCTTGTCGCTTATCTTACTCGAGCATTACCACTGCACCCCGCCCCGCCGTATAACCATCAGAACCAGAATGAAGGACACCAACAACTTTACCGATGGACCTTCACTCTTTTTCTCTGTCTCTCCATCACATCGTTGATCACTGCCGTACACACACGCACGCAGGCACGCATGTGCGAACGCATTCTCAGATCAGCGAACGAATATCTGTTCTTTTGCTCGTTCGTGACGTATGAAGTAGCCTTGTTCTCTTGATACTTGCGTCACCAACCTCGCTGTCACGCTTTCTTTCTCTTTTTACACCAGCCGCTCTTTCCTTCTTTTCCAGACACACGAAAGAAAATCCGATCCAAGCGAACGGAACGCCAAACAGCTTATTTACACATCCATGGATGTCGGCTGCTTCTTCGAACTTACACGGAATAAATAACTAAGGAATTGTGACGCTGATTGCTTACGTCTTTCCGTCTTTTTTTCCATAGTCAATTTTAAAGAATTTCCGTTCAGTATGATCAGTTTATTCAACCAAGGGCCTGCTGAAAATATCTCGGCCCAGCACACGCCCCCATACTACGACCGAATGACCAAACATTAGAATAATTTACTTGTGGAAATCCTTTTTTTATTTTTTTTAGTTGGACTAACATTTCAGCACCCCTCGTGTGAATATATCGTATATGTGTGAGTGCGCGTCTGTTTTTAATGTGTATATTTGTGTGTACGTGTGTGCGTGTGTTTGTGTGTGTGTGTGCCTACTGCTATTATGAAAAGTTAAATCAGTTGTTTTCTTTATTGGTTCTTTAATAATTATTGTTGAATTTAACTTATTTTACAAATGAATTACTAGCAAAAAAAAAAAAACAATTCGAACTGCCTTTTCTTTTCTATTCTGTTGTAGTTGTTGTTGATGATGACGATGATGATGATGATAATAATGATGATGATGATGATGCATGCGAAAAGATAAGATTTGAAAAAAAAACGGTGTTTTACGCATACACAGAAACGTTATTTTTTTATTCTTTTATTCCTTCATTCATTTATTCTGCTATTCACTGATTTCTTCGCTCTTTCTGATCGTCTGCCTTTCGAGTTGTTCAATTCGTTCATTTCTTTTTTCTTTGTCTCATATTCAATTAGCTTCTCTTCACTTAACTGAAACATTTCTCTTGAACAACTTTCTTTTTTAAATTTATTATTCTCCTTCTTCCTTTCTTTCAATGTCAAGCAGAAAATTTTACTTTCCTCTGCACAAAAACATCTCTCATCACAAATAAGAGAGACTGTGAACTTTCATGTTTCTCATTATAAACTTTTTTCAACGTATATATTTTACCGTGCTATTTTCACTTAGCCTTTCACCATTACTTTTCCTATCTATCTATCTATCTATCTATCTATCTATCTATCTATCTATCTATCTATCTATTTGTGTGTGTGCATCTATCTATCTATCTATCTATCTATCTATCTATCTATCTATTTGTGTGTGTGCATCTATCTATCTATCTATCTATCTATCTATCTATCTATCTATCTATCTATCTATCTAATTTCCTTTTTCGGCTTCCTCTTCCCCTACTTACTTTCTTTTTCTTCATCTTTTCCTTCTATTTTTTCTTCTTCTTCTCAACCTCCTCCTCTTCCTGCACCTC